AAACACTTAATTTATTTTGCTGAAGAGTCACAAAGTCAATAAGGAACACGTGCAGAATCTGTGCAGTAAAAACTAAAACTGAACAAAGTGGGACAAACCTAAGCTGATGCAGAGTTTCTCATGAAACATTCATTTCTAAACAAATTCTCAACAAGTTTTTGACTCAGGTGTTAGATTAACATCACAAGAAATCATTATCTGGATCTCAGGAGTTGAAGTCAATTCGCTCAATGTAAGTCTAATTATCCAGATGGTTCTCACAGCAAATAGCAATTCACATCCTTCATACACACCACTGGGAAGCAATGCAAGTTTGTAAGTTTACATACCAACTCTATCAGAGTAGAGGGTAAGGAATGAAAACTTCGGATAAGTTTAGCATGTGTAAAAAAACACTTTCCACTTCAGTGAGAAGATAGATCTTGTTTGTTCGTACTGCCTAGCACACATTCATTTTATTTTTTAGAAGTTATATGCTGCAGGAGTCCCTGCTCTCTACAGGTAAACCCAGACATTTTCCTCTCAGCACAGAACTAACTACATTTAAGCCAGTTTCTCTAATTTGAGGTTAGAAACTCCATACTTCATTTTCAAACCACAGTAGAGATCTGGAGTCAGTCCTTCAATTTATTATTTGAGAGCAACTTTTCAAAAGCATACACACACCTTGGTGCTCATGCACCATCAACATTTTTACACCAGGGAAATGAAAGCCTAGCCTGGTCTTCAGTTGTTCAGCAGTATACATTGCCACTAGAATCCACCTAAGAAAAGGTCACCAGCAATCCTAGACTGACTGTCTCTTAGGGTAGGAGAACAAAGAAGCTTCCTAATGATACACACCCTTACAGATATTTTACAGATAAATACCTGCTCAGTACATTTAATGAAATATTTGAGTAGCAGAAAGGACTCCTGGTTACACATGAACTATTTCTTCATTTGCCTCTTGTCACTGTTTCAGACTCTTCCCTTCTAAAATGTTTATTAATCTCCCTGAAATGGAGAAGCTGTATTTGAATATTTAATCTAGTCAGCATTCAGGAACCTCAATAAAAGAAAACGCTAATGCAATGATAAAAAAAGATCAAATTCTAACAGTGTTTATGCTTGAACATTACATGTTTTAGATTTCTTGGGTACCAGCTACTCATTGGTGTTGCTAAGCAGGAAGTTCTTCTAAGTCTGCTCACACTCAAAATTAATATAAAATTCATTTTAATCAGTGTTTTCTCTGTTCAGAGTACAATGAAACAGTCAAAGTTTCAGTCCATCTTTCATACTCTAAAGATAAACAACCTTGTGACATGCTGTGGTCAATCCCACGAACATACTTTTGTTAGCAAACAGCTTAAGCAGCCTACCAGAACTACCTACCCACTCAGTAAGTAACAAAGAGCTTCAAAACAAAAAAGTACTTCATATAGCAGTAGACTCAAGTTAATCAAAATGACTGCTTAGTAAAGGAAATGACTTCCTCTCAATTTTATTCAAATTATTATGTGTCAGTTCAAGAACCCAATTCTCAAAACAATTTTTATCTTGTAACAACAGCCTGTCAAGAAACTCTTGCTTGAGTTTTGGTAACCCAACCAGGAAAGTTCCTTTAGGTAATTTCACAGTAAGCAGACAAAAGTCTGAACTTTTCAGTGAAATGGGATGTTTTGCCTCATAAAAGTCATCTTCTCCTACTCTCAACCAAGTGTTAGATATAAAACTTCCACAAGAGCTGAAGAAAATTCAAACATGGGTGAAAAGTTACTTAAAACTAAGGATCACTGAAGTGGTGTTTAGAGAAATTCAAATGAGAATGGAATTAACTTCCAGACTCCAAGAAAGTATATTTTTAGATGCTAATAATGTTATTAAGAAGCAGCAGATTTTTCCTACGAAGTGATTACAGGATATAGCACTAACCACTCAACTTGGAAAATACAGAAACAAGTCATTTGGGCACAAACTGAGGCACAGGAAGTTCCGTCTGAACATGAGGAAGAACTTCTTCCCTCTGAGGGTGATGGAGCACTGGAACAGGCTGCCCAGGGAGGCTGTGGATTCTGCTTCTCTGGAGATATTCAAGACCTGCCTGGACAAGTTCCTGTGCAGCCTGCTGTAGGTGACCCTGCTTTGGCAGGAGGGTTGGACTAGATGACCCACAGAGGTCCCTTCCAACCCCTACTATTCTGTGATTCTGTGATTTGGAGATACATTCTTTAAGAAACATTAACAATAACCAGTCCAAAAACTGGATTTGGACCTTTCTGGTTTATATTTAATTACATCAAAAACCTATTTATGTGCATACAGCACTTTCCAAGGCTTCTGGTGATAAGATTCCTATGTATTTTAGTAGGAACAGTTAGCAGGAACAGACGCACCTCCACACCTACAATACCCATCACACGAAGCTGCTACTGTATTACGAAGACAACAAAATATTGCACTGGAAAAAATGCTAGTAAGTCATGATTTTCTGAGATTTCATTATATGCTTTTAACTTGAGTCCAAGCTATTGTTACAAGACTATTACCTTTAGCTGTTTTTCTTGCCTTGTCTTGAACATGGTATTAAGTTGCATACTACAAAGAGAATGCTTTTAAATAATGTATTGCTTAAATATATTAAATGGTTTGACAGTTTATTTAGAACTGAGATGCCATAATATTTCTCTCAATTTCAGAATGAAAACTGCTATTTGTCTTGAATACTGTAAACAATACAGAGTTAAAAGTAGTATGCAAGAAACTGAAAAATGTCAAATTGTCATGAAACGGCAAACTACACATGCTGAAAAAGCCATCAGATTTGGAACAGTCAAATCCAGTGTCATTACATTAGGACAGCAAGATGCAAACTGAACTATTTCTTGTCAGTTCAGCATACACAGAAAGAATTTTATTTCTACTTCCTACTTGTAGACATACTTTTCTTCAGTTGACATAACATTCCAGAACACAACACACTTAGTAATGAGCAGAAAGATAAATTCAATAAAACAATCAAAAAAACATTCATTACCCCTACCCAATACTAACTTTAAGTAAATACTGAAAAAATTGTGCAGTGGAATTATTCAAGAAACCTCTCATTCCACTCCTTTAAATGTGAAGACAGATCTGGTACCATTTACATTTTTTTAAAGAAACAAATTCTTGAAAGTCATGGAAATTTAAACTGCCCAAACCAAAATAAATATTAAAAGAAGCCTCTTTTTTTTAAAGTTCAAAAACTGCATAATTAATCAGGCCTCTTCACAAAGGGAGGTCACTTTTGGAATGCTAGAACTCAAGCTCCTTATCACTCATTAATGATCTGAAAAGGAAGTTCAACAAGATGACTTAAGCTTACCAGTAATACCAGACAGAAAAAGAAAAGCAAACAGATACCTCATGATAGGGGCTGCTCAATAAAGCAGGAGAAGAAAATTCAGTGTTGATAAACACAAAAAAAATTGTGACAGAAAAACAATTCCAGATTTACACAGACAATGACAAACTCTAAACTATTACCCCTCAAAACTTCCATATTATAAACAAGCGGTTCCATAAAATTGTCAGCTCAGAGCTCAGCAACAGTTCAGGAAAGCCTTAGAAGAGGGAAAAGAATAGCACAAGAGAGACTTTCCTTTGAGGTTCTACAGAGCAGAGTTTAAGACAGGATTTGGGTTTTTTCCTCATTCATTCCTGCACAGCAGCACGCAATGACCCAGGCTGTATTTCTGCTTATTCAGACTTCAGGTTAAGTTCTGCATTTTACCAGCTAAATCATTCACCAAATCTAGCTGAATTTTAGCCCAAGGTTATCAGGTTCAACGTCCCCACAACCTCACACCTGAACACCCCCATACCTGTTAGCTTTTGACAGGCCAGTTCTACAGATGTGTAATCCAGCAACTTGTTCAGTGTATTCTCTTGAGACATTTCTCTCAGATATTGCAACAGTAACTAATTGCAGTATTTTTGTCTCAAGAATACTCCATGGTTACCTTCTTCACTACACTACAGAAAGGAATCCCAGTTTTGCAACTTAAGTTTTGAATGTTTTAATGCTACCTCTGTATTAAAGTGAAGCCATAATTCCAAACTGTAAATGAACTACTACTCTAAGTGAGATGAATTTTTTTTAGAGAACCATTATCAAAAGGCAGCACTTTAAATATAAGAGTATGTACTGCCTATTGTAAGGATTGCCCAATAAAAGGTGAAACTTCCTAATTGCACAGTACTTATATAACCAACACTTCAAGAAACTCAAGGTAAAAATACCTGTCTACTTAGATACCTATTTTAGTTTGTATTCCTGTAATACCTGTATAACCCAGATGCAGAAGGTGCATTGTGCTAGGTATTGCAGTTAAACTCAACACCTTGGGGCAGTGCCTATCTTGTACCTGACAAGATAATGGATGTTTTGCATGCTATATACTTTAACAATACCTGACCTTCAAGCCCTTTAGGTAGCATGAAAATAATTGAGTTCACTGGAAGACATAAGGAACAGATCAGCAAAGCTAAACCAAAATGCTGATGAAGAGTAGGGCCTTAAAGGACAAGGAGACAAAAGCCAGTAATTAGATATAGTAAAAGCAGCCAAATGATGAAAGAGAGGAGCCTAAAACCAGAATGATAACCTAGGAGAACTAAGAGTAACAAGTTTAACAGCTAGGACAGACAAGAAACAATTCAATAATCAGTGAGAGGATAGACAAAATCGTTTAAAAAAATCACTCAAACATAATGCAAGCTTTTTTTTTTCAAGCTGGAGAGCTCAAGAAAGGTTCACAGTTGTTAGCTGTCAGTTCTCTGAACTCTTATCTATGCTGAACAAGCAAATCAATTCCTTTGAAACATATTCAAGACACAGCTTCAATCCTGCAGCTTTTACCTGCCATACATACCTTGAGTACTTCAGTGACTGTGCAGGGAAGCTTACAGCTCTCTGCAAGCACCACCAGATCTAGTGAGGGAGTGAGAAATGAAATCAGAAAAAAGTAACATACCTTGTGTTGCTCTAGTGCATCCACCCACTGTTGTCTGTGGTCTGGGTCCTGAGCTCGGAGGTACCAAACACTATCATTTACGCTAATATCAAATCTGCATTCGTCAAAGTCATGGGGCTATGACAGAAAAAAAAGCGTAAGAGTAGGTAAAATTAGCAACATGATCAACAATACCTCACAGAATATTTTGACACTAAAACACTAACTAGAAAACCTGGTCTATACTGTCTTGAATTCATCCTAACTTCTAAATTCTGTTTTTTGTAGCTGTCTCTATGAACACACACTCATCACAAAAAAAGCCACTCTTCTGAAAAAGAAAAGCCTGTTTAACACATTCTTATTAAATAAAATTGTCAAAATTGTCAAAGAAGTTCTGCACAAACATCAAACAAAACTTCATACTTCAAAACAAATCCTTAAGGAAAGTAACTACTGGACATAGCCAAGAAAATATACCAATATTTATCATCTCAAAGCAGGAAAAGAAATCAGTTATTGCTATCAGTATTGATTTTAGATGGAAGGAATACATACATTCCAGCAAAACCCACGAGGATAGAATCACAAAAGCAGACTATAGCTAAGTGATAAGGAAGAGCAGGAGCAGCTCAGCATCCTCTGCCTAAATTATTTTCACCATGTCAGTCCGGACTGTCAGATAATGGGGAGCAACATGCAATCCCTCCAAATATCACCACTCGAATGCATCTGACTTTCAGCTCACATGCCTAAAATACTAAAAAGCTTTTACTAGCATTACAATGAAGCTGGTAAGGAAAGTACAGGGAAACAAAGCAATGATCTAATTTGCCCTGTGCCTTGACACTGTCAGTTTAATTAAAGATACTCCTTAGCAAACATCCAACTGAGCACAACATCCCTTCCCATCCACCCCTTGACAACTATTCTTAAAGAAACACAACACAGGTATAGCTGAATACCTTTTTTGAATTTGAATACAAAGAGAAGTTACACATGGAAGTAACCGTAGGAAGCTAACAAGCTCTAAGGTTCAGACAGCATCATTTGCCTTAAGGACCACAAATATTGATTCCAGATGCTGAAGACAAGTCTACACGTTAGTAATGTCCTTTACAAGGTAAGAACCACTCTGAATACATTAATCTTGCAGATAACCAAAGCACTGTGGATCACTCATGAAACACTCCACAGAAGAACACCAAAAAGCACGTCTCCTCTGCTGTTGTGCACAACAGCCTACTGTCAGTGACAAATGTTTTCAGAAGATCTGGAAATCAGACGTTACACACATAATACAGAATCTTTCTTGTTTAAATACACTAAGGAGGAAGAAGAGCACAACAGAAGCCAAACTACCAAATAAAGAATGTGCTAGGAAGAGTTTAACAAAAGTAGATGATACTTCACTTTTTTAAAAAAAGCTTCACATATTTGGTCAAGCATCTGAACCTAAGTTCGATTTAAAGAAATTTAAACTTCCCACAGAAAAAAAACCCCAGCAACTGACTACACTGACAAACAACTGCAGCTACTAATACTTAATACCTGACTATCTCCACTTAACTCAAACAGCTGTCAAAACTGGTTCTATGCACTGCTTTGCCTTCACTGAACCACAGAACATACAGATGTAAGCAGGGACATGGTGGCTTGACACTGGCTGGATGCCAGGTGCCCACCAAGGCACTCTTATCACTCCATCTCCTCAACTGGACAGGGAAGAAAAAAACAACAAAAAGCTCGTGGGCGGAGATATGGATACACAGATTACTCATCAGTTACCATCACAGGCAAAACAGACTTGACTTGGGGAAATCAGTTTAATTTCTTGCCAACCTACATCAGAATAGGATAATGAAAAATAAGAACAAAACTAAAGGCATCTTCTCCCCACCCCTCCCTCCTCCCCAGGCTCAACTTCATTCCCCATGTTCTCTACCTTCCGCCCACAGTGGTGCAGGGGGACAGGGAGTGGGGGTTGTGGTCAGTTCATCACACCTTGTCTCTGCTTCTCCTTCCTCCTCACACTCTTCCCTTGCTCCAGCATGGGGTCCGTCCCACAGGAGGCAGACTTCCCACAGGCTACAGTTCTTCATGAATTGCTCCAGCGTGGGTCCCTTCCACAGGGTGCAGTCCTGCAGGAACAGGCTGCTCCAGTGTGGGTCCCCTGTGGGGTCACAAGTCCTGCCAGGAGCCTGCTCCAGCACAGGCTCTCCATGAGGTGACAGCCTCCATTGGGCATCCACCTGCTCTGGCATGAGGTCCTCCATGGGCTGCAGGGGGACAGCCTGCCTCACCATGGTCTTCACCAAAGGCTGCAGGGGAAAAATCTCTGCTCTGGCACCTGGAATGCCTCCTCCCCCTCCTTCTTTCCTGGCTTTCATGTCTGCAGAGTTGTTTCTTTCACATCTCTCACTCCTCTCTCCCAGCTGCTGTTGCACATCAGTTTTTAGCCTTTCTTAAATGTGTTACCACAGAGGCACTACCATCATCACTGACTGGCTCATCTTTGGCCACCAGCGGGTCCATCTTAGAGCTGGATATGCCCCATCTGCCTCTGTCAGATATGGGGGCTGCATCTGACATCTTCTCACAGAAGCCACCGCTGTAGCCCTCCCACTACCAAAACCCTGCCACATAAACCCAAAACAGGACATCAAGTTTTCCACTCCAGGCCCCTCTTCAACTTCTTCAAACTGCATTTGCTACATTATTACCATATTTCAGAAAGTTGTTTATCTGCTTTAGGATAGCAAACCTGCCACATCTATGTGTCAGGCTTATATGCCTGCTCCCAGCCACCGTTCTGCCAGGCCCTCCTTAGCCATGTGGTAGAGGACATGCACCTGCAATGGAAGGTTCTCCCAAAAAGCAAGCATACAAGAATTGGTTATCAAATTCTTTCCTGCCATGACAGCATGCCTCTGCTCAATCCAGCCCTTTGCCAGGAGTTAAAAGCAATTACATGCTACACAGTTAGAAAGACTTGCCAAAATTAATCTTAAAAGCCTGCAGTAGTACTGATTCCAAGCTTCCCTACACAACTTACTCCAAAGCAAAACCATCTTTGCCTCCTCCCCCATCTCTAACCCAAACATAATCTAATGCAATTTAAGACTATCACCTCTGTCTTTTTCTAAGCCAAGTCTGTGTGTTCCTTTCTTTGCATAGCAACTTTTAATATATTTGAAAATCTATGCCTCCTTGCTAAGACAGGGAAGGCAAATGTTTTCCTAGAAGTCTGGCTATAACCTTTTAAACAGTTTTCTGGGCCATTCTCCATGCGCGTACCTCTGCATTACCCATTGTTAAGAGACTAGGACATCTAAAAATCAGGTCTAGGGTTATACTCAGCTCACTGTGTAGTTCCATGTTACAAAAAAGCCAGTTGATCAGGTGGTCCTGCTGGACAAGTTGCTTGAAGATAAGAAATAGCCACTAACAAGGCTAAATTGTGCTTCAAAAGGAAGACAGGCAGGTGACAAATGACTCACTCTTGATTGATGTATGCTACCTATTTAATCATCCTATAGTACTTATTAACTGCCTATTTTCCACATTTTTTGGCAACTGAGACCTATTATTTCCTCCTCTTTTCCTCTGCTTTTTTTTTTAAAGACAGGCTCCACAGTAAGAACCCTGAATTAAGTAAATGTAAAGACAAGTTCTCTAACATGCATTTTACCAAGAGCAAACAAAACACCTGAAAAGTCATACCTGTGACTTTCTTAACACAGAACAAATCAAGCTGTTGTCGATTAACCATTTCCTCAACCACAAGCGAGTTCACATTTCATCTTCAATGATACCTTGGCAGACTTCAATACACAAGTTTTTCGTATTATCTGTTACATTCTCCTCCTCACTAAGCTATAGACAAACTTCCTCGGTCTCTCTCCTGCTATAAATGCTTTTATTATTTTCTGTAGCTGCATCTAGTAGAGACCACAAAGCATCATTCACCACTTCTCAGGTCTGCCCTTAATCTTTTAACATCCTCCTCAGACTAATTTGAGCCTCTTCTTGCTGGAACTTATTCCATTTCTTTTCCCTTCACTCTCTCCCTGTAGATCTCAACTCATTTCATTTAGATCTCCTTTTTTCTGAGGTTCACTGTTTCTAGCCTAGTGTTGACTTTCCTCTTTATGCTCAGAAGCAATTATAAAATGGTACAGTTCTTAGCCAGAAGCCAGATGGCAGAGGAAAAATAAGGATTTTCATCTATAACAAGCTAATGACCTGTGCTGAGGCCAGGATATGTCCTAGTGCCCTTTCACAACCAAGATAAGGTGAGAAAGAGGAATGTTTTAGTCATGCAGGGAAGCAGGAAGCAAGCATGAGTTCACTGTCTACCCTCAGGACCTAAAGCACGTTTGAGAAATTCAGTTGCTTTTCCCTAACTCCCCCACAGCATAGCAGCCTCCAGCAGCATACATACATAAATTGAGGGCACTGGGGAAAAAATCCCAGATTGAAATGACATTGAACAGGAGCACCTGAAAACCTTTATAGCATTTTCAAAGGTGAGCTGGGCAGACTTTAAGCACCTATGGCAGAAGCAGCCTGTGTACATGCCAAAGACACCTTCTAGAGACAGCATTTTAAAAAAAAACCTAAACCACTAAATCATACTTCTGTGCAAGAATACGCTGCATGAAATAGGCCTCCAGCATCCCCAAACACCCTTTCTGTATGCCTCCTAAGCTTTCTTCTAAGGCACCTGCAGAGAAGCCTGCTGAAACAAAGGCAATTGCAAGTATTCAAGGGTCACAGATTTTTCTGTATAGAACCAGCTGACACTAGGCCTTAAATTCTAAAGAAGCAAGAACAGTCTACATGAAGAAACATTTACTTGGCTACAGTTACTGAGGAAGTCCATAGCCAGCTCAGGTCTCATGAGTCACAGCTGACTGCATTGCCACAAAACCCTTCCTGCTATACAGCTCTCAAGCCTGAAGTATTCATGAAACAAGCTTCAGGGCAGTATCTGCTTGAAAAAATACTGGTCCAAGCACTTAAAGCAAATCACACAGGGAAGCTTAAGTGTTTTTATATACTTCATAACCTCTAAGAGTACTCCAAGGGGAAAAAAAAAAAGCACTGGAACAAAAACTTTTGCTTGCTCTCTCACT